CAAAACCCACCAAGCCCTGAACAAGAAAATCAACCAATCCCTGAACTGCAAAGCCCACCAATCTTTGAGCTCCCCAAGTTTAGGACTTGAAATCCTACCAATCCACACTCTGGAAATCCCTGCCCCAGAAATTTCCACCCCCTAAGAAATCCTATATAAAGGCTCTGTTTGCCCCAGTTTCTGCTGCCTTCTCCCTGGAGCAAAGGCAGCCACTCCTGGATTTGGCCCTTCAAGGAAATCTCTTTTAAGAGATTTACTGCCTGCTGTGACTCATTTGTTGGAAGAAGAAAAGTAAGAAACAAAAGAGTGGGGCTCAGGTACTTAGGCTCCTCAGCCCATCAGAGGTTGGGGCAATCCTTCCCTGGGAGATGCCTCCACTGGAGAAGGAATGGAGCTCAGGCTCCTAGGCTCCTTAGCTCGTAGGTGGTTGGGACAAACCTCCCTGGGGGCTGCAACATCTCTGTTGAGGAGGTCTCCTCTCAGAGCTGTGTGGTTCCTGGGCTCCTGTGCCTCAGGACACCCTTGGGACTCTGCCTCACCTCAGAGCTGTGAGGTTCCTGGGCTCTGGTGTCTCAGGATACCCTTGGGACTCTGTCCCAGCTCATAGCTGAGATACCTTCCCAGTCCTTGTAGCTGTGACTCACATTGCGGCCCTTGGAGTTGTAAGTAGTCTGGACATCTTCCCACCCGATCAGGAAGGCAGGCCAATACACAAAAACAACGCCCAACAAAGTATGATTCCACCAAAGTTCACCTAGAGCAACCAATGAGCTTCTTGGCTTACTAAACACATGGGTACCCATCCATGGAGGCTAGAAGAGCAGGTGGTTCAGAAGAAGCCACATGGGTGAATGATGGCTCCCCTATAGCCTTTGATTGAGAGAAGGTGGGGCTGGGAGGGAGAAGGTGCTGTCTTGTGGGCAGAATCCTGGGTGGAGGATTTCTGAGGTCCTCTCCAGGTTGCAGGAGAAGCTTTGAGCCAAATATTTGGGGTGTCCCTATGCCCACAATGAGCTTGGCTTCTCTATCTTCCATCCTCCATGAAGGGCTCCTGTCCCCCAGTAAAGATTTTGAAGCTTATACTTTTAGAGTTTAGTGTGGGTATCTTAGGTTCTATGAAGCTTATCAGCTGAAGAAGGGAGTTGAAATCATCTGTCACCCAGGTACAATGAGGGCCTGTCTGCCAAGGCAGGCGCAGACACTGCCCTGCAGAGACCGAAGGCCTCTGTGTTGCTCTCTGTGCCCACACACCCTGATTTTACCCCAGCTGCCTCCTGAGCATTTTGCAGAGGATGATGTGGTCAGTGAGTGGCTAGGGGGACATCAGAGTCAGAGGTAAGTGTCAGGGACACGGTGGCTTGAAGTTGGGGAGGGTAGAGACTCCAGGACTAGTAGCCGCAGTTTGGGGGTCCGATGGCTGCCAAGAAATGCAGCAAAGCACTCGTGGGTGCTGACTGCTTCCATTGAGAGGCTCCAGGGAACCGCACCATGTCCCTCTCTGTGGTGCTACTGCTGATATAGCTCAGTGAAACCAATCAGTCACAAAATGACAAGAAATGGGGCTGGAAAGATGGCTTAGTAGTTAAGAGCACTTGCTGCTTTTGCAGAGGACTTGAGTTCAGTTCCTGTCACCCACATGGCAGCCCACAACCATTTTTAACTCCAGTGCTGGGGGATCTGACAACCTCTTCTGCTCTCTTCAGTCACTGCACTCAAGTAACATACACTCCCACAGATGCACACAATACTGGTAACAAAAAATATCTTTTTTTTTTTTTTTAAGACACGGTCTCACTTTGTAGCCCTGGCTGTCCTGGAACTTATTATATAGACCAAAATAGCTTTGAACTCTGCTTGCTTCAGCCTCCTGAGTGCTGGGATTGAAGATGGGTACCACCACACCCAGCAAGAATAAAATAAAACTTTTTTTAAAAATGGCAAAAAATGTATGATTCCAGTAACAAGGTCTCTAGAGAAATCAAAGTCACAGACATAACGGTAGCATGGTGGGCCTTGAGTATCAGATATTCCAGTTGAAAAGGGGTAGGGGTGAAGGGTGGTGGTGCTGGCCCTGGCTGTCCACAGGCAGGTGTTCAGGCCCCTGTTCTGGGATCACAAGTTCCTATGCCTGACTGGAAGTCAGGATGCTCTACTGAGCATGACAGATTGAGTTTCTCTCATTGCTGCTGCTCCCATTGTTCGATTCTTTCCATTACTGAATGGACTGCTGTTTGTTCATCTGGTTGCTTTTTAAAAGACTGACTTAAAAAAAAAATACAAACAAACCTGAGTCTACCCTGTGTTGTTTCAAGGTCCTGACTGTGCATTATATCAATATAAATATTCTCATACAGGTGTTTTGTTTTTTTTTTTTGTTTTTGTTTTTTTGAGTCTCCCTTCCCCTACGAGTGAAAAATCTAGCCTAACTTCATCCTCACTGGCTACTAGAATTGTCTGTTTCCTTTGTGCTTTAAATTCGTTTATTTATGTGTACTGTGTGTTCTTTAGTCCTTTCTTTTTTCTTTTCAGTACAGAGTCTTACACTGTATCCTAGGCTGGCCTTGAACTTTCACAGCCCTCCTGCAGGAGCCACTCACTATATCTGGTTGTTTTTCTATATCCTTGAGATTTTTCTGATGAGAGTAAGATTTTTGAATGTGATGAAATCCAATTCACTAGAACTTTAAGAAGTCATCTTCTGGCTAAGACTTGCATTAAATATCTTCTTCTTCTTCTTCTTTTTTTTTTTTTTTTTGTAGTTTGAGTCAGAGCTGGAGTTTATTATGAAAAAGGCTTGCCGTATATTTAAGCAGAGTTTTTAGGGGAAAGGGAGAAAGGAGTTTGGGAAGAAGATGGGACCTGTGCTCAAGAGAGGGTCTGCCTTCTTCAGACAGAGCCAACTGTCAGCCTCTCTTCTTATGATAGCATATATCTATACTTATTTCTATACACTCAATATTTTATTCTTAGTTTATTTTAATCAGTTAATTGACTTATTGTTGTGGCACTGGGGCTTGAGTCTAGAGTCTCAAGCACATTAGGCACTCTACCACTGAAGACATCCTCAGCCTGATATTTGTATTCTAGCTGTTTACATTTGTTCCCCCTGTGCTTATCAGAGTACTCGGTGCACTCAGACTTGCCCTTTTTTCTTAATATCACTTTTTATCCTTCACTCATTTTCCACGCTTACTCTCTCTCCCCTTTGAAATCTTTCTTCTAGATCTCTGTGTACACGTTTCCTACTCAGATAAGACATTTATCAACTTCCCAGCTCCTCTTCACGCTTCCTCTCTCAAATCTATCATAGACAGCATCACAACTGTTAATTGTGGATACATTTTCTGCTTTCCCAATGTGTTATCTCTTAAAGATACAGCAGCCTTTGCTGTGACCTTTGGTCTTCTTTGCTTTCTGTTTCTGCAACAGTCTTTCCTTCTGTTCCAAATGTTTGCCTCTGTATCCTTTTGATAGCAGACATGATCCTGCCACACGTCTCACAAGTTCTGTGCCTGAGACGGCATTCACATTGCCTCACCCTTTGCTCAGAGAAATGTTATAGGTTCTAAGTAGTTCTTTTCCTGGCCTAAAAATGTGACTTTGTTTTCAGTCTGCATCCACTATTGCCTTTTCAAACAATCAGCGGTTTTCTCAAAATGTGAAGTTAGGCCAGGTGTTAGGCCAGGCAGTGCACATCTGTAATCCCCGCACTTGGGAGACTGAGGCAGGATGGTTGAAAGTTCAAAGTCAGCCTGCATTACATAGTGAGACCTGATCTTCAAGAGTAAATGGATCAATAGACAGGATCCAGCCCTTGCCTGATCTCCCCAGCCTCTGCAGACCTGGCCCCTGTTAAAACATTAACATGGGCTTGGCCTTGAGTCTTCCAGAAGCCAACCTTGGGACAGGACTCAGCTAGGAGCAGGGTATTTGTGAAGAGCCACGGAAGAGACAGCAGGGTGTGTGCTTCCCAGAGGTCCCCGGAGCTCGATTGGGAGAAGACTCTGGAAGCCCTTAGCTTGTGCTCCAGAGTCCCCATCATGAGGGACAGGAACTGAGCATTTATCCTCTACTTGCTGCTGTCGATCACCTAAAGAGACTCCTGTTCTGCTCTGGTGGGAAGCAGAGTCAGCAGAGCTAGGTGAAAATGGAACCTAGCCACACAAAGGTGCTAATAGGCGAGGGCGGAGAGGTCTCAGTGGATGGCTCAGTGGATAAAGGCATACATTGCCCAGATCTGGAACCTAAGTTTTATACCTGAAACCAATGGAAACAGAGAGCGAGGGAACCAATTTCCCACCTCCGGACATAAGGCTGTGGTGCGCGCACGCGTGCGCACACACACACACACACACACACACACACACACACACACATCATAAGTACATGCACACAATAATAATAGTAAATAAATAAATGTGACTCTGCATTTGACATGGAGGGCTCTGAGTTGGTTCCTGTGGTGTCATTATAAGGAGCGGCATGTCCCCTAGGACTCAAATTTATGCTCTGACCCAACAGTTCTGCAGTGCTTGCTGGATTCCCCCATGTCCATCAGAATGAGCCCATAACACCTCTGCAAGTTCAGTCTACATCCTGGGTTATCATCAGCTCCAGGTGCCAGGTGAAGGAGCAGTGACTATAGCCAAGGACAGAAGGAGGTCATGTCAGAGTCCCTCCTGCTGTGCCTTGGGTGTGGGTCTGTAGACTGGTCTCCCCATCTTGCCTTTTTCCTTTCAAATATGCAGTTTGCAGCCTTGCCCATCTATGGCAGGGCATGCTTTCAAGCTTGGCATATCCCACTCTGCCTGCCTGGGAGGCTGTGAACTTGAACTGACTGGTCAATTCATATCAGCCTCAATGAAAAGACATGTGTGGCCACAACATGCCTCCTCTGGAGTACAGATGTTGCATTCTGTGCCCACATCCTGTGGAAGAAAGATAAATGGGACCCTGGGGGGGCTCAAGGGAGGACAGAGAGTGGAGCACAGCTGCTCCTATCCATTAGCACCTCTGCCCTTAGGTCTCCTAGCTGCAGAAGCCAGTGTTTGGGCCCGGAGATATTTGATATGTGCTTCAGGATGCTGTGGCTGCTGTTCCTCACTCTCCCCTGTCTGGGGAGCACAACGCCTGTGACTCCTGGTGAGTCTTAACCCCCCAGCCCTCATGCTGTCCCAGGCTCAGTTTCCTGCTCCAGATCCCCTGAGGTTATGCCAGGCTGTCAAACTGTCAGGAACCTCACTGACTCCTAAGCCTTGGATGCCTCTGGTGTCTAATGACCCTACTTGCCTCTACAGACCTTGGCTCAGGACAGGAGTTGGCAGGCATCGTCGGGGGCTGCCCTGTCTCAGACAGCCGGTTCCCGTGGCAGGTCAGCCTGAGGTTCTACAATATGAAGCAGGACAGATGGGAGCACATCTGTGGGGGCTCCCTCATCCACCCACAGTGGGTGCTGACTGCTGCTCACTGTGTGCAGCCGTGAGTGGGGTCACCTATTCCCTTGGTTGGGAGCAGATGGGTGTTGGGGAGTGGGTGATCGTTTCTGAGCAGGGTTTCCCATGGGAGCAGGGTTTCTGAGACCCTCCTGATCCCTGCGTCTGTGCTAAGATTGATTTCCCTACCCTTCAGTCCCTCTGAGGGGTTCATTGTCCTGTCTCCCAGGAAAGAGCTGGAGGCCTGTGGCTTTAGAGTCCAAGTTGGACAGCTGAGGCTCTATGAAAACAACCAACTGATGAAAGTGGTCCGGATCATCCGACACCCCAAGTTCAATGAGAGGCTGTCTGCCCAAGGGGGTGCAGACATTGCTCTGCTGAAACTGGACACCCCAGTTGTGCTGTCTGAGCATGTCTACCCCGTGTCCCTCCCTGCCGCCTCCCAGAGAGTCTCCTCGAGCAAGATCTGCTGGGTGGCCGGCTGGGGTGTCATCGAGAACGACAGTGGGTATCGGGAAGGCCTTATGTCCATTGTCAGCACTGGTGGGGAGAGGCAGAAGCCCCCAGTGCTGGTTCTTACTGTCTTTTCTCCCCAGTGTCGCTGCCCCCACCCTACCACCTGAGGGAAGTGGCCGTCCCCATTGTGGGAAACAGTGACTGTGAGCACAAGTACCAGGCTGATCCTTTCTTGGCCAGCAAATCCAGGATCATCAGAGATGACATGCTTTGTGCTGGCATGGCGGGCCGGGACTCCTGCCAGGTGACAGCCTGACCTAGCCCTTCTCCTCTGTTCCTTCCTGGCCCAGGACACTGGATCCACCAGGCTTGGAATTATGGGATGCCTGGAGTGCTAATCCCTGCCTTTTCCCACAGGAGGACTCCGGAGGCCCCTTGGTGTGCAGGTGGAACTGTTCCTGGGTCCAGGTGGGTGTGGTCAGCTGGGGCAAAGGCTGTGGACTTCCTGACTTCCCTGGTGTATACACCCGTGTGACGAGCTACCTGTCTTGGATTCATTGCTACGTTCCCACGTTCGCGGAACCCTCAGTGGGGCCAGATGGAATTCATACAACAGAGGAGACCCCTGCCACTCCTGTTGACCTCCCCATTTCTCCAGCTAGTCCAGTATCACCTTCTTAAACCTCCTTTTCCCATGGTGGTGACACTCCCTTGTGCTCCTGGTCTGGAGTCTGTGGCATCCCTTAGCTCTGAAAGAGAGGGCTAAAAGTAGCTGGGCAGCCCATATCCTCCTTTTATCTTGTTTCCCATTAAATGGTAGTTTGTCTAATTGATGTCTGTTTGACCTCTGAACCCAGAGCATGGCCCTAAGGTTGAACTGGTAGGGAGGAACGTACCCCATTAGTGCCTCTGAGACCTCGGTGGTGTGAAAAGGAGGTGCACTCAGTCACCAAGTTAGCCCACACTATTCTGTGGATTCCACCCCCCCTAACGTGCATTGTCCTAAGCTGCTTCCACTTGCCTATTCAGGCTCGTAGGCAGGGGTCGGATTTGGGGGTCTCCCTAACACTTCAGCCCTTGCATAATGGTGTTGAATTGCCTCTTTCTGAGCCCATGTGGCCATTCAAATTCTAAAGAACTGAGTTCTTACTATCCTTTCTTCCCCTCTTACATGTTTGCTGTGCTTGCATGAGCGTGTATGCATGTTCATATGTATGTGTCTGTGTGTGCATATATGTGTGAGTGCACACGTGTGCATGTGGAAGCCAGAGGTTGACATTAGGTGTCTTCCTCAATCACTTTCTACTTTATTTACTAAGGCAGGTTCTCTGGCTAAGCCCAGAGACTGCCTGTTCACATAGTTTAGCTAGTCTGCTTGCCCCAGGAGTCCCCCATCTTTATCTCCTGGGAAGATTTTGGTTGGACTGCCGTATCCACCTGGCTTGTTGTTATTGTTGTTGTTTGTTTGTTTTGTGAGACAGGATTTCTCTGTGTAGCCTTGGCTGTCCTGAACTTCCTTTGTAGACCAGGCTAGCCTCGAACTCACAGAGATTGACCTGCCTCTTCCTCTGCCTCCAAGAGTGCTGGGATTGAAGGCTTGCACCACCACGCCTGGCTTCCACCTGGCTTTTCATATAGTTTCTAGAGATCTGAACTCCAATCCTCAAGCTTGCACAAGTGCTTTTTCCACTGAGCCATCTCTCCAGCCCCTTTTGGTTTTTGAAAGAGGGTCATAGGTAGCCCAGACAGGCCTAGAACTTATAAAATAGCGGAGGATCACCTTGAACTTTTGATCCTCCAGTTTCCACCTCCCGAGTACTGGAATTATAGGTATTATGGGTATGTGGCACCATACTCCATTACGTGGCTAAGCCCAGGGCTCAGTGAATGCTGGGCAAGCACTCTACCAACCGTGCCACAGCTACAGCTCTCAAGTGCTTATTTCTACCCGTGATGCTTTGAAATCTTCTGCAGGCACCTTGAGGCCCATACGCCTCCCCATATCTCATCCCAGCTGGGTGTCATGAGAGAAGGCAGGTTCTTCAGAGGCCTTCAAATATGTCTGCCATCCAGTGCCAAAGGAAGTCCCCCTTTTTACCACTGGTGGTGGCTCTGCCCCGAGTCTTGGAGTTCTAACCTCTACCTCAGAAACATTAGGAGGTGATTATAAGAGGGACCCTAGAGAGCTTACTTTGTCTGACATGAAAGGACATAGGGGGGAGGTGCAGTAGGTGAACCCGCTCCAAAATCTACCCCTGGACACCTACCTCCAGACTGTCAGAAGAAAGCCCTCGCGGGGGGGTGTGTGTGTAAGCCACCATATCCACAGCGTTGGGCGAGCAGCCCTGGGGAACTGAAGCAGGTAGTCTCTAAGCTGTACACTGAGTCAGGGCATCACCTGGCTTCCTGGGACGGCTAGGGACCAAGCAGGAAGGAGCTCTCTATCAGGTGAGTAAATGAAGCTGGTCATGAAGGCCCACAGGGTCTGTTCTCCCAGGAGGAGGAAGTCCACAGAGTGGGCTGGTGGCTGCTGGGAGTTGGGGAGAGACCGGTGGCAGCTAAAGGACACAGGTGTCTTTTCAGGGTGAGGAAAATGCTGTTACATGGAGTGTGGGGATGGCTTGCACGCCAGGCATGGGCTAAAACCCGCAAAACTACACCCTGTGTTTTGCTTTTAAGACAGGGTCTCCCTCGATAGCCCAGGCTAGCCTTGTTTGCCTTGGCCTCCCAAGTGTTAGGATTATGGGCATGCACTATCATGCTGGGCAGGACTGTACTCTTTAAGTGTGTGGGTTGTGCAGTGTGAAAATCACATCTCAGTAAAGCTGTCAAAAATAATAAACTAAAAGAAATTTACTTTTTTTTTTTTTTTTTTTTTTTTGAGACAGGGTCTCACTATGTAGTTCTGGCTGGCCTGGAACTCACTATGTAGACCAGGCTGGTCTCAGACTTACAGAGACCTGTATGTCTGTTTCCTGAGTGCTGGGATTAAAGGAGGACACCATCACATTAGCTTAATTATTATTTAGCTTATTATTATTATAAGGCCATTAGCTTATTATTATTTTGCATGTGTAGGTGTGTGTGTGTGTGTGTGTGAGGTCAGAGGACAGTTTAAAGGAAATTGTTCTCTTCTTCCACCATGAGAGATCTGGGAATTGAACTCAGGCCTTCAGGATGGAGAGCAGGCACCTTTACCCATCAAGCCTTCTTGTTGGCTCCAAATAAACTCATATATATTTTTAAGTCTAAAGTTTTAATTTCTCTGACTCTTTTGAAACTGTCTCTAGACCAGCTGCTGGGATACCCAGGCCCACAAAAGCATGGTGGATGGGGGAGCTGCTGGGAACCCCTCCTGCACAGTGGGCTCTGGGGAGGTTGGTGCTATCAGCAGTCTATATTGGGCGCTTGGTGAATTTGAAGAACGGCCCCTTGGGGGTTCTGAAAGGTGGGGCTCTCAGGTTCGGCCAAGGTCACATGACCTGCCTCAGCAAATAGAAAGGCTTAGTGTTAAAGGCACTATCCATGCCTTGAGGTGACTATGGGACTCAGGCCACCAGAGACACTCACAAGAAGAGGCATAGGAACACTGTGGGGCGCCCCTGGAATCCACCAACACCCTTGTCCCTCACTTCCCCTGTCAGCCCATCAGGGACCTAGTCCCAGAATCCTGGAACTCCCTGGGTCTGTGACCTTACTTCCCTGTTGAGGGAAGCCTCACTCCTTAAACTAAAATCCCTTGTTGGTGGCACTTGGGCCTTGAGTCTAAGAAGCCCTCTCCTTCCAGACACAGCTGAATGTTGGTGGCTTCATGTCGAGAATGAAGTTGTTTCCTTCTAGCGCTGAGCACCAGGCCTTAGCTGCACTGGCGATCTGACCCTCTCCCTCAAACACCTAGGATAACTGCCCATGCCCTCCCCTGACTACTGACACCCCCAGAATACCTGTGCCCATGCCCTCCCCTGACTACTGACCACCCCCCATGTCTAGGATACCTGTGCCGATGTGTCAGGTCGTGTGGCCACAGATGGTACGTCCACACCACATGTGTGGGAATCCCAGTGAAACCCTCACAGGGGTTTCTGAGAAGCACAACTATATGGTTGCTGTTGTTTGATTTATTTTTATTTTTTGGGATGGTCTCACTGTGTGTCCTGGCTGGCCTGGAACTCATTCTGTAGACCAGGCTGCCCTCGAAGTCACAGAGATCTGCCTGCCACTGCCTCTCAGGTGCTGGGATTAGAGTCACATGCTACCACACCCAGATGACTTTAACATTTTTACTACAGACTTCTGGAAGTAGAAAGTCATCACCAAATTATTGATTGCAAGAGAATTAACCCTTGCTTATAAGATGCAACAGCAGGCCGGGGATGTGTCTCAGTTGGAAGAGTGCCTGCCCTGGTTTCATAGACTAGGTGTGGTGGGGTGCTCCTGGGATGCCAGCACTCAAGAGGCAGAGGCAGGTGGATCGGAAGCTCAAAGTCACCTATCAAGTGCAAGGCTGTGTGAGACCCTGTCTAACAAGAACGAAGAGGACAACAGTACTTGACAAGAAAATCCCTAGGACTGAGGATGGAGCTCAGTAAGGGATTGCTTGCCAAGCATGTGTAAGAATCTGGGTTCAGTCTTCAGCACTACACAAATGACATAAAGGACACAAGCGACCCCTTAGGTAAAATGTGCTTTGTTGGAACAAAAATTCGGGGGATTCAAAGTACTACACTGTATTCAGCATCGATTCAAAGCAACTTTCTTTTTTTTTTTTTCAGATTTATTTTATTTTATGAGTAAAAATGTTTTGCCTGAATGTATATATCTGTATAACTTGCGTGCCTGATACACAGGGGTCAAAGGAGGATTATCAGATCCCCAGCAGCTGGAGACAGAGGGTTGTGAGCCACCACGTGGGTGCTGGGAAACCAGTACATGCATGCTCTTGGTGGCTGTGCCATCTCTCCATCCTGTTTGCTTTTCTTGTGATGGGATTACATGTAGCCCAGGCTGGCTTCCAACAGACTGCCTAGCTGAGGATGACCTTGAATTTCTGATCTTCCTGCCTCTGCATCTGTAGTGCTTAGGACCACGAATTTATACCATGCCTGGATTATATCGGGCTGGGTGGAACCCAGGGCTTCGTTCATGCTAGGCAAGTACCACCAATGGAGCTATCTTTTCTTTGTGAACATCTTATTTTAAGATGAAAAACAAAAACAAAAACAACTGGGCTGCTTTGGGGACCAAACTATATCTACATCACAAGCCAAAGAATAAAAATATTTTCAAAAGTTAAGGTATGTGCAGTTGCTTTGGGAAAACAAACAAACAAATCCACGAATCTCTGAATCTACATTCTCACTGCCAAGGTTATATTTGTTGACCTCAGGGCAGTGTGACTCTCCTAAACATGTCACCAACAATTGTGTCTGTTCCAATATTTGTAAAGGAGAATTTTCTTTCTTTCATTAAAACTCATACACATTAGTCATTAGCAGTTTGTCAACTGATTTATGCAACCCACCTTTCTGCTCTCATGAGTCCTGCTACGAAACGTAGGTATTGTTTTGTCTGCTGGGAAGCCACAATCACTGGTCTAGTTTTTCTTTGTGCCTGGGTGGAAGCAAAGCAAATTCAGCAGTTTGGCCAGATTTAAGTGGCTTGCACACCACAGAGTCTCAGAA